TATGGGAGTGATTATTTCAAAACATCAGATGATGTTTCATATTAGAAATTGAAATTAGCTCCATGATGCATATGTATATCTCTAGACAAAGCCAAAGATCTACCTTTCCTATAACATCTAGTATATTACCATTTTACAAAACAAAGTCATATCCACTTGCTAAAGTGATAGTCTCACTTGACAGGTTTGAAATATCATTAGGTTTACTAGGATTTTCACTGTTTATGTGTAAATAAGGAACTCTACCTCTCACACCTGACAGACGTGAGCTAACTGCTAAACTGTTTTGCACAAGCAGTTCTATGTGCTCAGTGGCCAACTTGAGCGCTGTCAGTTTCCACAGCATTTTCTACTGCATCTAATGCTTATTGTTGGTTATCCTGGACTTGTTGATCTACCAGCTGGCACCAATAATCTTGTCTGTTTGCTGTTACAAAGTACTGGCCTTGAGGGTTGGCTGGCATGTGCCATCGTCTGGAACTAGAGCTCTATCATCTTTGTTACTCGGCCAAATATGGGCAGCTACTTTGCCATTGTCCTATCACTCCACAAACGAAGTAGACGTTTTTCTTCATTCATCTTGTATGATGTCTATAAGTAGAGGCACTTACATTTGCTGTGGCATCTAACCTATGGGCGGAGCTCGATAGCCATGCCCATTTATTGAAAACCAGTGTGGTTGCATAACAGTGCCAAGAGTGGCAGGTTAACTCTTGGTACAAATCTAGCCCAACGTGGTGGAGGTGTCTTAGTATGTCAGTCCATCTGAGGGGTAACCATAACACCTGCAGGATTTTTCTTTCTAACTACTAGCTCACAAAGAGTATAAGGGACAAAGTTAAAGAAAAGCATTAAAAATTTCTGAAGTTTAGATTGGCTTTATTAGAGAAAACTTAAAAGATTATAGAAAATCAAAAGGAAATTAAGAAATCGACAAGGGTATATGAAAAAGGGTGGCTAAAAATGTAAAAAAATTAACATAAAGGGTTTCTTTGAATACATTAAAGTCAGGTAAATGTTGGAATGGGAATAGGGTCTTAAGATATGATAAAGAAAGGCTTATTTCTGATGATTATTGGGTTGCTGGACTATTGAATTAAACTTTTTCTTCAATTATTACAAATAAAGATTTGAGCTCTAGAGTCTAGACTATATTTTCGATGACGAGAAACCCACTTTGAGACTAATAATGGCTGGAGACGGCTTGAATGGGTAATGAAGAAAAACTTTAATATAAGTTTAACATAACAGCAAATGTACAATGTATCGACAAGGTTTTGTCATCATCATGGAGGTGATTGTTCCAAATGTGTACGAATTTCA